CCAGGGACAGTGTGGGCCACAGACGTCTCTTCCAGGTTCTGGAGATGTTGTATGTTTCACACATGCCCTCTGGCCGCACTGGGGGTCCCTCACAGATCGGGATGGGGAGGGACACCCGCTGGCTGGTCCTGAGAGTGGCACCAGCAGAGGGCGCTCAGGGCCTGCAGAGCAGTCACGTCCTGGGCCACAAGCATCAGGCCCTACCCAGAGCCTCCTGGGAAGGAGGTTTGGGGCAGCCCAGACTCTTGTCCATGCAGAGCAGCAAGAATGTCACAAAAAAGCAGCTGGGGGTGGGGGGCAGGGGTGTTCTTTGCAGCCACAAAGCCAGTGAAATGATGCCCACCAGGCAGGTGGCAGGCCGATCTGGAGAATCTCCAGGCCTTGGGGGATGACGGAGTGCAGGCTGTTCCCTCCATGTGACAGACCAGTTCCCTCCCTTCTCGCTCTGGCAACTCAGCAGGATAGTGACTTGCCCAGGTCACACCAGCCCATGGGGCAGCCCCACCCCCACCAGGGCAGCAGGGGCATCTGACAAAGAGGAGGGTTAAAGGGTCTCAACTAAGCTCAAGTACTGGCCGGCAGCCCCCGCCCCCACCCCACCCCACCGCTCCTTGGGAGGGGAGGAACCTAATTAGGTCACCTCCAGCTGCGCAGCGATGGCCCCGATGTATTTTAAGGAGTGTCTGGGTGGCAGGCGGGGGAGGCGCCCGGGCGGCCAGTTTCTGCCTGGTGGTCCTGAGGCTGCTTCCAGGCCCATGGACAAGACCCCGATGCCCACACGGTGCGACGCACACACGGCGTGTCCACCATCCTCCCGAGTCTTGCACCCCCGTCTGCTTTCCCCCCCTGCCTGCCCCACACTGGGGGCTTGGGGCTGGGGTGTTATTGTTGGGAGAGTTGTTTGCGAGCTTCCAGAGTTGGCAAGTGACTCACCCAAGGTCATGGTCTGAGTCAGCACAAAGCCAGAAATAGAACCCCAAGCCCTGTCTCCCCAGTCTCCCCAAGTTCTTCCGTACCCTCCCTTCTCCAGGGAGGTCAGGAGCAGCAGGGAACTGCCCGCCTCCCTCCTCCCGGACCCCCCCTCGGCACAACATCCCGCAGGAAAGTGCCCGCATGACCCGCCAGACCGCTGCAGCTGTTTCCCTCCTAGAGAGCTGCGTGTGGTGATGGCAGAGGGCTCCTGGAGGGCCAGGTGGACTCAGGGCTCGGCACCCCACTGGCCCTTGGTAGTAATCACAGGTGCATGACGTGTCCACCTGACCCCCGCCTCCGAGTCTCGGGCGGGGCTGCCTAAGCTCACTCAGCTGTGCTCAGAGTTTCTGAGCACTCCAGCGGGCAGACATGATGCAAGTGGCTGAGGGGAAGAGGGAGGCCCAGCCAGGGTCCGTGGCCACCCCAGATCACACAGCCCCGGGGGCAGGGGCAGCTTGCTGGCAGTGGACACCTGCTCACCGGCTGAGCCAGCCCAGGGCCCGAGCCCCGTGACTATGCCGTCCACAGACGTGAGGCTTTGTTTCACCGCCCAGGCCCTGTGTCTGCAGCCCACTGGCTTGGCTTCTTGGCTTCGCGCACAGGCCAAGATGAGCTGTGCCAGCAGGTCAGGGCCAAACGGCATGGCCAGGGAGCTGCCCACTCTCAGGGCCCCTGCCACGCTCCTTGGCACCTCTCACCACCTGCCCCTTGGGCCACCACGGACCCCATTGGACAGATGAGGAAACTGAGGCTCCGAAAGGAAGGTCGCCCTTTTGGGGTCAATAGAGTCTGGATGCAAAGCTGGGGCCCGCTTTGCTCCTTCTACCCGCCCTCAGGGGCATCACTCCGACATGGGCTCACTGAGCCTGGGGGGACCGGCCTCCGCTGCTTGGATGAACAGGGCGCTCTACAGACGCCTGTGCTGGAGGGCGCCGTTTCCCTGTAGCTTCTCAGGAACTGTTTCTGCAGAACTGCAGCCTCCTCTGGGCTGAGCCCGAGGCAGAACTGGTCACGGAGGAAGTACGTTCTCCGACAGAGATGTCTGGGCACGCCACTTACCTGCTGCGCGAGGCTTGAGGCTCACACAACCTCTCGCAGCCTCAGCTTCCTCATCCGACCCATAAACGGTGGCCAGTTCAGACTTTTAGGGCTACTGGGAGGGTGGAAGTTATTTCTGTGCCCCAGACAATGGAAACCTGTCCCCCCTCACCCCCTCCTGCAGCAGCCCGGGATGCCCCTGAACTCGGGCGCGCCTGGGCGGCTTCAAGCACAAGCTCTGGAGTGACCCAGCACGGGAGCCCAGTAGCAGTGCAGGGCTGACCAGGAAGCCTGGCCTGGCCCAGGGGTCCCGCCCTGGCTCAGACAGCCCTGTGTTGCGGAGGGAGGGGCTTGGGGCGGAGCCTGACTCTTGTGCTGGGATTCTTCCACTTCTGAGTCAGGGAAACTCCCAACTTCCGGATGAGGAAACCGAGGCTGGGGTGGGGGTGATCTGCGCCGTGCCTGGGGGAGGCCTCACTGCCCTCCCTAACTCCCGCCTTCTGCGGGGTGGGGTGAAAGAGGGGCGCGGGCGGCCACCAGCGCCAGCCCCTGGGCTGCAGGGGTGAGTGCCTGCTCTTCCTCCACCCTCCCCTCTGCTGCCTGGTCCATTCTGAGGAGCCCACTCGGTGCGCGGAGAAGGGGTCAGCCGCCAGCCCAGCCCCGGATGGCGGTGCCCTCTTCCCTTCCTACCACGGACTTTAATGACGTCTGGGAGCCTGGCTGGCCAGAGCAGGGCCCCCCACTTCAGCTGCATCTCCCTGGCAGCCAAGGTGGCTGCTGCTGTGCCTCCCGGCCTCCCCGCCCCTGTACCCCAGGACCTCCCAGCCCAGGCTGTCACCAACACAATGCCAGCCTGGGGAAGTGTGGTGGGCGGGCCAGCAGTGCAGCTGGCAGGGCTTCCATGGATGCGCCCAGTGCCAGCATTTGCCCAGGTAGGGTGGGGGCACCCCAGCAGCCTGCCCCCGCCAGCCCCCAGCTGCGCTGTCATCTCAGGTACTGCGGCTTCTTTTCCTGGAGACGGCTTTATTGAGATGCTCATACCTGTCATTCACCTGCTCACGGTGGCATTTCAGGTCCCTACATTCATGGGATGGTGCAAACATTACCATCGTCCGTTTGAGAACATTGTCACGACCCTGAAAAGCAGCTGCCCCCATGAGAGGCCTCGCGGCCCCTGGCACGCACCGCCCTGCGGGCTGGCTCACCGATCAGCCCGTGCCGCTGCCCCCTCGGGAGCCCGCACGCCCTGGTCTCCACTTGGCGTCACCACAGCCAGTTGCGTGTAGGTGCAGCGTGACTCAGCAGGCACCTTTCTGTGGCTGAGCGGTATGCCACTCTGGCCACAGAGGTTTTGTTTGTGGACATTTAGGGCGTTGCCACTCTGCTTACGAGTAGTGCCACGGGAATGTCCACGTACAGGTTTTTGTGTGGCTGTGCCCCCTGGCGCGTCCACCGCTTCTCTAAAATGGGGGTCAGACAGCCAAGCCTGAGTGCCCCGCCCCCCAGAGTGGGCTCAGAGCGCACACCCCGCAGCTGTGCAAGGGGCCACGAGGGACACCTCTCACTCCTCTGCACCCGGGGGGGCTCCTGAAGGAGCCACCCGACCACTGGCGACAGCAGAGCCCGAGAGCCTCCTGCCTGCCAGCCCTGTCCCTGGCTGCGGTGCCTGGACGCCCAAGGGAGCCAGTGCTCTTCCTGGCGCCCACGCTGGGCCCGGGGTGGGGGAGGAAGCAGGGTACAGAGCAGACTGCTCAGGGCTTCGCCTCCGACCTCGGGGCGAGGGGCGAGGGGTGGAGTGAAGAATGGGGGTGAGGAGGTGGTGACCCATTACCCCACGCCTGGGGCCAGGCAGGGCTTAGCAGTGCCCTTGTACAGATGAGGCCAGTGCAGGTGCCAACCCGGGGCGCACGGCAAGGCAGAGTTGGGGCTCTCTGTGCCCTGCCTCGTGCTCCCCCAAGCCCTGTCCCCGCAGGCGCTTGTCCCGGGCGCAGGAAGGCCGAGCTTCGCTCCAGCAGAGAATCTTGGGCTCCAAGACTCAACCGCTGGGGGCGGGGGAACTTTCTTCCTCTTCAGAGAAAAATAAAGGGTGAACTTTGGCAAGGCCACGCAGGCCAGCTGTTGATATGGGAATATCTAGTGATTAGGGTGATAGCAACTTATGGGGTGCTAGAGGTGCCAGACACTCACACACCCTAATCTCTGAAGCCTCAGTAGCCTTGCGTGTGTTCTCACCCCGTTTTTTCTGAGAGAGTAGGAAACGGGCTGAGAAATATCACCAGTGTTGCAGCTCTCACGCCTGGCCGTGGGTAAGCGCGTTCTGCCACGAACATCATCCCCATTGTATGGGCAGGGAGCCGGTGGGAGGTCCAGAGTGCTGCACGAGGCCCACGTGGCAGGCGGAAGGCAGGATTCGGACCCGGCTGTCTGGGCCCCGTGCCGGGGTCCCGCCCAGCTGAGGCGCAAACGCAGGTCCTTGGGCTTGACACGTGTGGGCCAGAGTGCCCCAGAGCAGCGCTGGCCACTCACGCGCCCCCTCCCGGACGGGGCGTCCTAGAGCGGCACTTGCCACAGCCTGAGGCAACTTAACACGACAGTTGTTTCTCGAGGTTCTGGAGCTGGAGGCCAAGGCCAGGGTGGGTGGCTGCTGTGCGGGCAGCCTCCTCTGCGGCCTCCCTCAGGGGAAGCCCGTGCAGCTGGCTCTTCTAAGGGTGCTGGCCCAGGGGAGGGGACCCACCCCACCTCCCGATCGCCCCAAATCTCGCTCCCTCCTGAAGGCCCCTCCTCCAAGTGCTGTCACCGGGGACAGGGCTTCGGCGCACAGCCGAAGGGAGCACAGGCCCATAGCAAGGCTCAGCGCTGCGTGTTTGGGGAGGATGGACGGGAGGGGCCTGTCCCGGGTGGATGTCACCTGTGGTGGCCGCGGGCCCTCCCGGCTCTCTAGGCTCATGCTGCTGTCCAGAAGCTGCCCACTCTGGACCTCACTCACGCGTCCTGTCTTTCCCGTTCCAGACGGAGCCCGTGGCTGGTGAGGCTGCTGAGCAGGGCCGGGCCGGGCCCTGCCTGCCGGGTCGTCCGCGCCCATCACTGGCCCCGCGCCCGGGAGCCCGTCTGGTGCTCCTGCCGCTCCGACCATGACTTCAGAGCCCACGGCACCCCCAGCTGTGCCCCCGCCCCCCCCACCCAAGTCCCCAGTGTGGCCCACTTTCCCCTTCCACCGGGAGGGCAGCAGGGTCTGGGAGAGGGGCGGAGTGGCCTCTCGGGACCTGCCCAGCCCTCTGCCCACCAAGCGGACCAGGACGTATTCTGCGTGAGTACCTGCGCCTCTCCCTTCCGGCACACCCTCCGTGCCACCCCTCGAGGCCACGCGTCCTCAGTGACAGTCTCAGCCCATAGCCACTGGGCGCCCACCACTCACTGCACAGGCGGGTTGGGGTAAGGACCGGCCTCCGGCGCCAGGGATGCCGTCTCGGCGGGGCCTGGAAGGCGTTTCAGGTGGACAAGGCAGCGGGTGACAGGCCGGTGGGAGAGGCTGGACAAAAGCCCAGGCGAGAGGTTGGCCTTGAGGGGCTGGGGGGGCTGCTGTCTCTCCGCCTGCTGCCCCTCAGCAGTGTATTTGGGTCGATCTGGCTGTTCTCTCCTCTGTGTCTGGTGAGTCCTCTCACTGCCCATACCTCTGGCCTGCACCCCTGTTCTTCTACCCTCCCCCGCCAAACCTTACAACACGGGAAAATACTACAGCAAGAACCCTTTAAGCCCGGTCAGGGCGGGAGGCTGCTGAGACCGCACCGGCTGGAGTCAGGAGACCCTGGCTGTGCGTCTGCCCAGGGGAGACTTGTTCCCGTGCTGGGCCGCAGTTTCCCTATCTGCCCCTACCTGTGCCGAGAGGCCTGGGCCAGCATAACCTCGTGGCTGTCTGGCCTGGCTGGTGTCCGCAGCTCAGAGGCAGGCTCCCCAGGCAGGCCCAGGCGGGCTGTGGGGGTCCGGGGAGCTGGGCCCCAGGCCACGCGCCCATCGCCCTCCCCCACCCTCAGGACAGCCCGCGCCTCGGCCGGCCCAGTGTTCAAGGGCGTCTGTAAGCAGTTCTCGCGCTCACAGGGCCACGGCTTCATCACCCCTGAGAACGGGTCTGAGGACATCTTCGTTCACGTGTCTGAGTGAGTCCCCTGGGCTGTGGCCGCCGGCTGCAGTGTCCCCATCTGCCTCTCCTGGCTGGTGGCCCCTGAGGTCTGGGTCCCTGGGAGCTCCCCTGCCCGTCAGCGTGGGGCAGGGGTACAGAGGAGGGTGGAGCTGGCTGAGGCGGGGGCACTCAGCCCAGAAGCCCCAGGTCTTTCAGCCTGAGGGCTGTCAGCCAGGGAGGCTGGGCGGGGGAGGGGTGGACTAGGCCTGGCCCCCTGCCCAGCCCGATGCCAGAGGCCGGAGCTCTCCAGGCCTCAGGGATCTCACGGGCCCTTGCACTTCTCACTGAATCCCCAAGCAGCACAGGGAGGGAGGGACTTTTGGGACCCCCATGTTGTAGGTTAGACTGCGACTGGCCCAGGCTAGGCCACTGGGGTGTCCAGAGAGTGGGGTCTACTCTGGGCTGATGCCCTCTCTCGCCCACCAGCATCGAGGGGGAGTATGTGCCGGTGGAGGGCGATGAGGTGACCTACAAGATGTGCCCCATCCCGCCCAAGAACCAGAAGTTCCAGGCTGTGGAGGTGGTGCTCACCCAGTTGGCCCCCCACACCCCCCACGAGACGTGGTCCGGCCAGGTTGTGGGCTCCTAGGCCGGTGGTCTTGAGGCGGCCGCCCGGCCAGGGAGGAGCCACACAGGGTGGACGGGCAGCAGCGGCTCGAGCCCCACGTGCTGACTGACCCAGGCCCCTGGGCGCCTCCGTGCCCCTGTCTGTCTGTCTGTCTGTGCCGTGGCTGTGAGTGCGCCTCCATCCACCCGTGACCCGTGACTGTTACTTGAGCCGGGCTGAGGAGGCCACGACCTGCCTTCTCTGCTTGTCCACACTCTTCTCCCCTCTCTGCCACATTCGCACAGGACCCTCCTGTCCACCAACCCGTGTATCGCTGTCAGGCCTGGGGTGGGTTTGGGGGTACAGCAGATCCCACCCATACACGCCTGCTTCCTGGCCTCCACCCCAGGACCGGCCCTGGGGCCAGACTCCGCTCTCGCCTCCCACCCGGCCGGGGTCTCCTGCGGCTGGGCCCTCTCCTGGGAAGCCGGGCAGGGAGCACTGTGGGGAGCCTCCAGCTGCTGGCAGAGGGCCAAACCTTCCTGCCTCCCCTCAACACACTGGGGGGGCAGGACGGGGGGGCCTGGGCGCAGAGGGCAGTTGGGGGCTCCTGTTCTGCCAGCCAGTCCCTCCCTGCTGGCCACGACTGTGAGCCCCAGGCAGGCAGTGTCCCCTCCCCTGGCCTTGAGGCCTCTGCTCCTTAAGGAGCTGCCAGTCCACTATGGGGCCTGTCCCCCACCCCACCCCCAGGCTTAGGCAGGGCCACCCCCTTTGCCCTGGCTCACAAAACCCAACATCCCACCAGTGTCCAGTTGCCAAGGCTGCCTAGGAGCCTGACTGGACAGACACCCCCAGGCAGGGTCAGGAGCGGGCAGCTGTGGCAGCCTGGAGGGCCTCGCTGGCTGCCTGGGCGCGTCTGACGCTGTCCCCTCCGCTCACCGAGCCCTGTTGCCACACCGTGTCCGACAGGGAGGCCCGGAAGGAGGGGCTCCGCCTCTACCCCCCACATCCCCTTTTAAAGAGCACATCACCTGGTGGGGGGAGAAATGGGGCTCAAGGGAGGGCCTGCAGGGACCATGACTCTGGAAACCCAGTCTAAGATGTCTACAGGATCCCTGCCCCTAGCTGGGGTATCTGGGTGCCCTCCACCCCCACCCCATGGAGGCTAGAAGCCCAGAGTTACTGAAAGGCATTGGCTAGCCCCCCCAAGTTGGAACCTCTCAGCCTGCTATCCCACTCGGAGTTGGGCCAGCCCAAGGCCTTTCTCCCGAGTAACGGGACTCGCTGGCCAGCTTGGTAGGAGGCTTCTGGTGCAGCTGACTGATGGGAGCCCCCAAGACCTGCTTCCTGTGAGTAGAGCCCTTTTAGGCGCCGGCCAGGAGACGGCACGCGCTCACGCAGCTCTGGGGCTGCCTGAGGTGGCAAGGGGCCTCAGTCCTGCGCACTCGGGTCCCACGGAGCCCTCCCAACACCCCGGCCCCCAACTCCCCCATCCTCCCCAACACTGGCAATAAACCCTCAACTGTGACTCGGCCTGGCCTGGAGCGGTCTCTGTGGGTCCCAGGAAGGGGCTGGGGCACCTGCGTGACTGGGCAAGGCCTGCCCAGCTCCCTGTGCAGGGTGGCTGTGATGCCATCTGCCGCCGCGGCCAGCTGCCCCCAGACGGAGCCGCCACGCTTTTTTCTGGGGACTTTAATACCGTGAGATCAAGTTCTCACCTCACGCACCCTCCCGCCACGCCGCGCCCACCTGGGCAGCGGACAGGACGCCCACACACACGTACGCAGGCCTCAGTGCAGAGGAAGCCGGTTCAGAAGTGTGAGCAGCGGCGGCAGCCGGGGCTGTGGGACGCAGGTGGGGCGTAGGAGCAGCTGCCGGGACGGTCATCTACCCAGACTCGGGGTGCGTCGGGGGAGGAGGAAGGCCCTGGCACACGCCCCGCACCAGGGCACGGCCCTCTGGAAGCCCGGGGGTGTGGGCCCCGTCACGCCTCGTGGGCCGTCTCTGGGAAGAAGATCTCACGGCATCGCCGCACTGTGTCCTGGGGTGAGACCACACTGTGGCCCACGGTCCGGGGGTCGGCGTAGATCTCAAAGTCGTTCCCTCCCTGCAGAGGTGGCACACATGGTGCGTGAGGAGGGGCCCTGGCGGGGACCCCTGCCTGCATTGGCCCCAGCAGTGCTGCCTCCCTCTGTCCCCTCAGGAAGCCTCCTGCTCACACCCCCCCTCCCGGGCTCGCTCTGGGGCAAGCGGCCAGCCCGCCCTGGGCCTCGGCCTGACCACCTGTAACAGGCCAGTGAGCACTGGCTGTGCTCTGGGTGGCTCTGGGGTCTGCTCTGCGCCCCGTGGCAGGTCTTGACCGGGGGCGCACTCACAGGGCTGGTCTCGTTCCCGAAGAAGTGGATGGTGTCGAAGCTGTCCTGGTCCAGGCTATCCAGGCAGCAGCGCTTGTCCCAGCCCTCGGGGAAGACGTCGAAGCTTATCATGCCTCCTGCAAGGGACAGACGGGCTTGCGGCGGGCCTGGGCGTGGGCCGGCAGGGTCCCTCATTCAGTCATGCACTCACCAACCCTGAGGGCCACTGGACATCAGGCCCGGGGCCCAACTGGGGCTCTCTGGTAATGCAGTGAGCGAGCCGGGCCCTCGGGGCACGTAAATCAACAGGGTAAAGAGTGAGACTCCCCAGGCAGTTGCCCGAATGATGGGGTGGGGGGCTCTCTGGGTGGACCTTGAACTGAGACCCACACTGGAGTGGCAGTGGCCCAGAGTGGAGCTCCAGGCCCATGACAGCCCCCAATGTAGACAAGAGTGTGGGGTGTCCTGGCACAGAGCAGGGGTGCGTGGGTGGGGGGAACGGGCATTGGGCCCTGGGTCCAGGGTTTCATTAGTAGGGTGAGGAGGGGTCTTGTGTGGAACGGACTAGAGGGAGACCAGAGTGCCAACGTGAACATTCTGATCGTAGGGCCCTGGGTCTTGCTAATAGACTGGACTAGGAAAGGGGAGGGGAGAAAACTCAAGGGAGCCTGGTTGGGGGGCAGAGAGGCAGGAGGGTAACACCTGGAGCCCTGCCTGGCCTACTGAGGGGGCTCCCAGAACGGGGGAGCAGGCAGGCTTCGGGACGGGCCGGCCCGAGGGGGTGCAGGCCCACGCCAGGCCTGCTAGGCCGCCGGCGGTGCACATACCTCGGGAAAACCTCAGCCCTTTGCCGGCAAACTCAGTTTTCAGAGCTTCCACGAACTTCTCCCGGATCTTCTCCTTCTGCAGAAGGGGAGGGAACATGCGGAGGCTCAGGCTGCGGTGCCAGCCCATGGACACACCAGTCCCATGACTCACGCGAGCCCCCGAGTGGGCACTACGGCCCCACTGGCCAGCGAGGAACAGGCTCGGGAGGGCCATGCCTCAGTCACCCAGCCAGGTCAGAGCCAGGGCCTGAGGCAGGTCCACCAGGGGCGTGGGCGGGTGTTCTGAAGGAAGCCTGAGGAGAGGCCCGAGGCGGAAGGAAGGAGGGCAGGGGTGTCAGAAGGCCCAGTGTCCACCTCCCGCGGGACCTGTGCTGAAAACCAGCAGCGCCTAAACCCGAGTGGGGCGTGGCTGGGTGCCGGGCCCAGAAGTTGTGCTTCCTGGCCGTGTACAACACGCAAGTCGCTTCTCTGAGCAGCAACAAACTGCTCTTGTCTACCTCCCGCTCAGGGGAAGCGGAGATGAGGGCCCGGAGCTTCCGGAAGCTCGGCCTCGCCTTCCCAATCCACCAGCGGCCCGCCCCGGAAGCCACTCTGGGCCCAGCTTAGAGCTGAGGAGAAGCTGCCCCCCGGCCCCACCTCCTGCCTCCAGAGACCCTGGGTGTTGCCAGCTAGGCGACAGCCTGGGTGCTCACCCCCCCCACCCCCGCCTCAGCGTCCTCATCTAGGGACGGGCACGCTGGCCTTCAGGGCCGGAGGAACGAGGAAAGTGCGTGGGCTCCTGGTCGGCGCTGGGCACCTGAGAGCCGAAGCCAAGGTTCCTGGGGCCATGAGCAGGGCATGTGTGGCCCAGTGCCCCCAGCCCTCTGTAGCCCGCAGGACGCGACCGGGAACTGCTCACGCCCCTTCACCAGGGAGAACGCAGGCGCTCCCGGGAAGCCACCATCCAGGCAAGTGCGGGGGTGGACGGGAGCTGGCCGAGCAAGCCTGGGCCGCCGAGAAGGGCCACTCGGTCTGTGCGTGGGGGAGGAGCTCTTTACGGTCAGTCCCAAATGCTCACGGACTTTGCTACAGAACCCCCAGCGTCCATGGGGCCTGATTCTGGGGGGAGACAATCACCATGGCTTAAAACCTGACTGCGCAGAGGTGGAGATGTCTGCGTGGGGAGAAGCTAACAGAGGAGAGGCACTAGCTGTGGGGGGACATGTAATGCTTGGGTGGCCCTGGGCGGGACCCCGCACAGCTGCGAAGGTCAGAGGAAGCGTGTTGGGCAGAAGCAGGCTCCGCCATCTCCACAGCCAGCCAGGAGGACATGGCTGGGGCGGGGAGAGCAGGACAGGTCAGGGGCAGAGCTGGCCAGCATGGCAGGCTCCACCCGGAATGGCAGCACATGGCGGGAGGGTGACAAGCAAAATACAAGGGGCAGCAGGGCCAGAGGGACTGTGGAATGTGCCAGAACAGTCAGCAGGTGTCAAGGCCTCAGGCAAGACTGAGGAGGGTGCCTGAGCCAGGGGGACCCCTCTGCCCTTGGGGCACCCCTGGAGGGCTTGGACCCTGTCCCCAGCAGGGGAGCTGAGGGGCTGCCTGCCGGAGGAGACCCCAGTGAATGGACTGAGGCCTCGTGGCCGAGTGACAGGTGGCCGAGTGACAGGTGCTGAGAACTGTGATGCCGGGAGCTGGGAGGGACGTCGGGTTACCAGAGTAGGAGGCCGAAGGGCCCGTCTCCAAGGGAGGGCACAGCGGCGGGGCTGTGCCCACAGTGAGGGTGTGTGCCAGGGTGCGGAGGGTGCTGGTTGAGCCAGAGCTGCCCTCCCGTGTCCTGGACCAGAAACAAAGGCCGGTAGGGCCCAAGGGCCGAGGCCCACAGCCTGAGGGCGAGTCGGCCACACCTTGTCCAGCTCAGAGAACTCGATCCGCTCCTCCAGGGTGCAGCTGCGGCCGATGGGCGAGATGTTGAGCATGCCGTTCCGGAACTCGATGAAGGTCCCGCTGGGGGGAGGGGTGCCGAGGGGACAGAGCGGCCCTGAATCCAAATGCAGTCCCACTTTGGACTTCCCAGAGGCAAGATCCCCCCTCTTCCCACAGGCCCGGGGTCCCCCTGCCCCGCCCGGCCCCGCCCCACCGGGGTCTCACCGCTTCCTGGGCAGTCTGAGCAGGGCCATGTAGTGGAGGCAGAAGTTGATCAAGTCCTGCAGCAGCTCCTCCCCCAGGTGGCTCTGGATGGTCTGGACGAGGCACAGGGCTCTGAGTGGGGTGGGCCAGTGTCCCTCCCCCGTCCAGGGCAGAGGGCACCTTGGACTGACTCTTGTGGAAAAGTGTGGGATCCCTGGAGAAGGCCCTGGGGGGCACTGACCTGCTTGGAGAGCAGTCGTCCGTGCTTATACTGCACTGTCCCGTTCTCGGCAAACACATAATCGAACTTCTCCACGACTTCAGGGCCATGTGAGGCCAGGGAGGAGGAAAGAGGTAAGGCCAGGCCTGGGCAGGCCGAGAGGTCAGCCCACACCCCTGGGCTTGGCATCCAAGGCCCAGCATTCCCAGCTGCGCTGTGCTGCTTTTCCCCAAACAAGCCAGTCCCTCAGCCTCTGATCACGCAGGTCCTCCGGCCTGCAAGGCTGGTCCCTGGCTTGCCGGCCACTCCCAGCTCCTGGAGCCTTCCAGGACTCCCCAGCAGAGGGCGTCATCCCCCCTGCAGTTCCCACAGCCGCGGGGCCCCACCGGCCATGGCCATCTCGGTTCTGCGAAGGCCCAGAGGACTTTGACTCTGGCTGTAGGGAGAAGTGGGTGGGCATGGGGCAGCTCAGGGAGAGGACAGGAGGCAGTGGTTGGCAGAGCCAGAGGTGGTCACCTGGACTGGTGGCGAGGTAGGGGAGAGGGGTCAAGAGAGTTTCTGGTTTGACGACCTGGAGGCATCTGCTCCCACTGAGCTGAGACCAGGGACTCAGTGTCCAAGCAGCTGCCTAGGGGACTACAGGACCTTACCTGGGCTACTAATGGCGCCCACCCTAAAGCGTGGTGATGAGGTTTCAGTGAAAGGAAGTTAATATGTGGTCACTGTCAGCCCATGGCAGCGTTATCGATTACGCTCATTTTAAAGACGAAATCAAGACCCAGCGGGAAGGGCGCAGAGTGTAAGCTCCGCTAGGGCGGGGTCCTGCTGCTTCTCCACAGCCTGCACACTGTCGGTGCTCCCAAAAAGTGTTGGATCGGCGAGTGGGACATCTGGCTGCTCCCTGTTCTTCCTTTGCCCCCTAGAAAGAGGGCTGGGTCTTTGAACGCATAATGGTCCCCTTCAGTCCACCCCCGCGTGGACGGCGGCGGCTGGGGACGCGCCTACCTTCATCCCCCTCGCCCAGCTGCTCGGCGATCTTGGAGTAGTCCGAGCCGCCCACCACGCCGATCTGCACCCTGCCCCGCAGCTTCTGCAGGAAGGCGGCCACCTCGGGGTCAATCTTCTGCAGGGAGGCAGGAGAGCAGAGCATGCTAGAGGATCCCACGTGCGGGACCGCTCAGCCTCGCTCGGAGTGCGGAGCCCAGGGAGCCCCCCAGCTCTGAGGCGGGTCAAAGTCTAGGCCCCAGGCTCAGAAGGAGGTGCGCTCAGGCTCCAAGCAGCACCAAGACCTTGAGCAAATGGCTTTGCCTTAGCTGGCCCATCCTGAAAACGGGGGTCACAGCAGCAACCACTTGCAGGGGTCACTGTCATTATTCAGTGAGCGTACACCCCCTGTGCTGGAAATGAACCTCAGCCAACCGAGGACAGGTCACCTGCAGACTCCCACCGGGGCACACAGAAGGAGGAGTTAGAGTCCGTGTTTCCAAGCACACGCTGTGCAGAGCCGATAGGCCCGGCGTGGACAGTGATGTAGGAACGGGCTCAGTTTCCTGAGGCCACCGCGGAGGGTAACTGGCAAGGTCTGTTCAGACAACACATGTGCCCTGTCCCCCAGAACGTCCACCTCTCTCGCCCACGCGTGGCTGCAGGTTCAGTGGGGTGCGGCTCCGGACGGGACAAACCGCAGTGTACGTGCTCGCCAGCCACACACTGGCGCACAGGTGCTCCGAGTCACTGTGCTGTGGCGCCGGGGGAGGCCCCAGAGAGTGCCACCAGGCTGCCAGGCGCCAAGCAAGTGGCAGGAGGGCACACGAAGTGTGATGCAGCGTATTTTAAAAAGCCTCACAGAACAGCGCCGGTATTTCCTCTGGGCAAACAGAGATCAGATCTGGAAGGAAGCCTCTGTGTGGGGACGGGGCCTGGGGTGGCGCCATGGACAGACGGGTGTCAGTCCTGTTTTGTGCCTTCCGAGGAGAATGGTCACGAGCACGAGTAGTTTACAAAGCACCAAGGACAGGGTCTGGTGGGTGGTCCAGGCCGTGGGTCAGCGGGGCAGAGGGTTCGGGGTCCGGGAAGATGACCCCTCTGGTTATCTCCTCCCTCCCCTGGGCCTCTGGAATTGCTGAAGAGCAGGTGCCAGCTTCTTCCCAAGGCGCCAGCTAGGGTCCCCCCATAAGGGGTAAGGTATTAGGCACCTGAGGGGGACGCCAAGACCTGGGCTCCCAGCGCTTCCTCTGCCTTCTCACCCGCTGCTGGCTCCCGGCTCTAGGAGACCCCATAGCTGGTCCCACGGCTGCGGCCGGAGGTGGGCATATACCCGGCGATCCAGACTCCAGAGTGGGTGTGGGGGCTCATCCAGGGTGAGGCCCAAAGGGTGAATATTTGGGTGAGCAGAGGTTGGAGGAGCAGCGCGGGTGAGGTGCCGCAGGAGGAAAACCCAGCTCCACCCTCCCCCGCCAGGCTGGGCCGGGGCCTCTGGGGCCGGGTGGGCGGAGCACAGCCTGGGCCGGCCAGGGCCGGAGCAAGCGGGGAAGGGGCTTGAGGGTCGAGGCCCAGACCTGGGCCGGCTGGGTGGGGTGACATGGGTCGGGGGCGACTCTGACGCTCGGGCGCGCGTCGGGCGGGCGCAGTCTGGAGCCCTGGACGCAGCGCG